TTTTTTAGAATAGAAATTAATTCTACAGTATAGATGTGACTCTGGATATTGGTTGGTCACAACAGTTGTGTGCGGGGTGGAGCATATAATACACACACTTTTAGTTGGCTCTTTGAAACTTTTATTCAACTGATCTAATAGAATTATGTGGATTTTGAAATTTTCTTTGATCACAACTCTCTCTGACCGGTAATTTTTGGTTGGTTCTCTGAAATTCTCTTTGAAATCTCTTTGATCAAGACTTTCTCTTTAACCAGACTAAAAGATCTTTGACCAAACTCTCTAACTGCTTAATTATGAATTTTTTTAAAATAAAAATTAACTCTATGGATGTGACTCTAGACATTGACAGAACACACACTTTAGTTGGCTCTTTGACCATAACTCTCTTAATTTCTCTTTGACTAACTCTTTTTTTTTTGACTAATATACCTTTAATATTTATTTTAAAACTACTAAAAAAGAACTTTATTTACTAAAATTAATAACATAATATCATATTAAATAAACTAAACTAATACAAAAAAAAAATTTAACAAAATTGAAATTACAAAAAAAAATAAAACGCCTTATTGCGTCCTGGTAGATAACAAAATATATATTACTAGGTTTGTCTAGAAAAATAATTTTTGATTGTTTTAATTTGTTGCAGAGCGAGATCTGCAGTTGAATTGAAACTGTTTAATCTTACTGTTCTTTTTTTTAAAGTTGTTATATTAATTTCAGAACAACGAGCTAAAATTATTTTATAAACTTTTGACCTGGCCTTATTAACACTTATTAACACTTATTATTATTTGCTTTTCATACTCTTCAGCATATTTAGTTGTTAGACGAAACCTTGTTGATAAAACATGAAATCTAGTTTCATCTTTCGTCAATTAAAATTTTAAATGACGAAATGACGAAACTGCAAAAGGCGACACAAGTTCAATGAAAATAATTTTTTTTAGCGGGAGCACTAGGATTTCGTTATTTTAGGTTTGTTTCATTTTTCATCAGAGGTTTTGTCTTTTGGAGATTTAGGTTTCACCTAACAACTGTACTTCAGCATAATAGTACATTTATTTGCATGATTAGCTTTATTATAACATAATAATAAGTACTTGTCTCTTTTTTATTGCTACTCTTCACAAGGAGTTATTAATTTGAGCAAAATGTTTTCAAGAATTTGTTTTTTTTTGTTAATGCCCTAGTATTCCGCAGATAAACTTGTTGATAATAATAAGATGGGTGCTGTAGCTGGTATTGTAGCAGGAAATTTAAAAACTTAAATATTTCTATGTAGAGATGATACATAAACTAGTAGCACATTGAGAATAAATTTTCTAAATTATCAATCTCAAAAGCGAAAGTCTCAATCTCTTTGCATAAAAACTATAAATAAAAGATCAATATATACATGATAACATTTACAATGACAAATTTAGTTTATATTCAATGAGTTAACTAACCTTTATTCTATATAAAGTCATTAAAGTTTTTAGATTTCCTGCACCGTAGATCTATTACGTGATCGAAGTATAATTGGTAAAAAATTTTGTGTTGGTGGCAATCAGACTATACTAATACCACCAAAACAACACAGAGGCGACAAAAGGATATATGTGGGTTGAGCGAATGACTTTTATGCAAACATTCCTGCTCTTTATTAAGAGCAAAAAGAGCCTATTTTATACAATTTTTGTACATGTGGGGCGGGAAAGAAAAAAGAACAAAATCAATTTTTTTTTAATCTAAGCCCAGCAAGCATGCCAATTTTGGCTTTGCTTAGCTTTCTGTTTACAAACAAATGGGCTTTTCAATAGATTTACTCCTTTAGCATCATCTTCTTTTACGCGGCCTTGGGGGCTTCAATTCGGGTCTTTTGTCACAGTTTTGGACAAATTCGGCGCAGCAAATTTTGGCGGTATTGCCACTAACAGTATTTTATAAAAAAAATATCGACATGAAGTATTGGACTAAGCATTATCAATTTCGTTTATATCAATAGTCTTTTGGGGTATTTTGAAAAACAATTTTAAATTAAAATTTTCTATTCGAGCTTGATAAGTATGTAAAAATTAACAAATAGTATATTTATATATATAAAAGAACTTTGAAAATTTACAATTAAAAGTTTTGCTTTATGTTCTATGTAGTAATCATATTAAGAAAAAAAATCTGATCTCACATTTGAATGCATTATTAAATTTAATTCAGAAAGATATTATCGAGTATGATTGATCAAAAAAGTTTTGATCAATTACCACCTCTAGCTAGTAAATATCTTGTTAAAGGATTGGACCCCATAATAGTTATTGTGACGAAAGTTACGATACTTAGACAATAATTTTTTTTCGTAGAGACAATACAGCTATAAAGGTTTTTAATAGTTCAAATCCAATAGATATATAATAAAAGGGGTAACTGAACTAAAAAATCATTGATTAATTTTTTGAAATTCTCTTTAACTGCCGAATTATAATTTTTTTTAGAATAGAAATTAAATTTATGGACGTGACTCTAGATATTGGTTGATCGCGACAGTTGTGTGCGGGGTGGGGCACATAACACACACGTTTTTAGTTGGCTCTTTGAAACTTTTATTCGACCGATTTAATAGAATTTTGGTGGATTTTAAAATTTTTTTTGACACCAAATGATAAAATCAACTAAAACTATAACACTAATCTATCAATTTTACAACTCTCTTTTCGAGTCTTGCTAATACTATAAGTGTAATTATCTTGATTGCTTGGTTGTAAGCTTTAGCTAGAAGCTAAAGATAATGCTTTCTTTCAGGTTTTGGGTTCCAGCTTCTTGTCACGTAAATCACGTGGTTATTGCGATTTCGATTTAGAGGTAATAATGATATAGATTAGAGTTTAATCAATTGTTATAAAAGAGGTTTTGCTAATCAATTCTCTCTCTTTCTTTAGTAATAGCTAAGACAATATCTTGAATTCTTTGAAATTCTCTTTGACTGAGTAGGTGCATACTAAAAGATCCTTAATTAGTTTTTTTTGAAATTCTCTTTGACCAAACTCTCTAATTGCTAAAATAAATTTTTTAGAATAAAATTAACTCTATGGATGTGACTCTGGATATTGGTTGTTCACGACAGTTGTGTGGCTCTTTGAAACTTTAATTCGACCGATCTAATAGATAGAATTTTTGGTGAATTTTGAAATTTTTTTGACTTTGACTAGGTAATACTTTGGTTGGTTCTTTGAAATTCTATTTGATCAAAACTTTTTTTTTGATTTTTGAAATTTTCTTTGACCAAGCTCTCTTTGACCAGGGTAAGTGCATACATACTAAAAGATCTTTGATTGGTTTTTTTTTAAAATTCTCTCTGACCAAACTCTTGAACCACTGAATTATAATTTTTTTAGAATAGAAATTAACTCTGTGAACGTGACTCTTTTTGGTGTATGTATAAAGAGAACTTTGATTTTTAAAACTCTCTTTTGACCAAGAACTGGGTAGGTGCATACTAAAAGTTCTTTGATTGGTTTTTTGAAATTTGCTTTGACCAAACTCTTGAACCACTGAATTATGTTTTTTTAGAATAGAAATTAATTCTACAGTATGGACGTGACTCTGGATATTGGTTGGTCACGATAGTTGTGTGCATGGGTGGGGTACATAACACACAAGCTTTTAGTTAGCTTTTTGAAACTTTTATTCAACCGATCTAATAGAATTATGGGTGGATTTTGAAAATTTCTTTAATCACAACTCTCTTTGGCTGGTAATCTTAAATCAAAACTCTTTTTGGTGTGTGTACAAAGAGAACTTTGATTTTTTAAAACTCTTTTTGACCAAGAAAGTTCTTTGATTGGTTTTTTGGAATTCGCTCTGAATTATGATTTTTTTTTTAGAATAGAAATTAACTCTATAGACACATCTCTTTAATATGTACAAAGAGAACTTTGATTCTTTGAAATTCTCTTTGACCAAAACTTGGTAGATGCATTACTAAAAAATCTTTGATTAGTTCTCTTTGACCAAACTATCTACTGCTTAATTATGAATTTTTAAAATAGGAATTAAATCTATGGACGTGACTCCTCTATACATTGGTTGGTCACGACAGTTGTGGGTGGGTACATAACACTTTAGTTGGCTCTTTGGTGGATTTTGAAATTTTCTTTGTTACCTAATAGAACTTTGGTTGGTTCTCTTTGACCAGAACTCTTTGATGTGTACAAAGAGAACTTTGACTTTTTGAAATTCTCTTTGACCAAAAACTCTCATTAACCGAGTAGATGCATACTAAAAAATATTTGATTGGTCCTCTTTGAACAACTGCTGAATTATGAATTTTTTAGAATAGGAATTAAATCTATGGATGTGACTCTGGATATTGGTTGGTCACGACAGTTGTGTGTGGGTGTGGGGCACATACCACACACTTTAGTTGATTCTATGAAAACTTTGATTCAAACAAATAGATGGTACTAATAGAATCTTGGATAGATTTTGACTCTTTGACCAGAATACTTCGGTTGGTTCTTTGAAATCTGCTATAGTTCTACGACACCTAATAGATCTACCACAGCACATATTAAATCTACAACACCTAGGTATTAACAATACTCCTTTTTTATTTTTTTATTTTTTTTGATGTGTACAAGAAAACTTTGGAACTAAATTATGAATTTTTTAGAATAGAAATTAACTCTATTGGTTGGTAATGACAGTTGTGTGCGGGTGCGAAACATATAAACATGCTTTTTTATTCGACCAATCTTTAGAAAATTTCTTTGACAAACTCTGGTTGGTTCTCTTTGACCAGAACTCTCTTTGATGTGTACAAAGACCAAGCTCTCTTTGACTAGGTAGGTGCATACTAAAAGATCCTTAATTGTTTTTTTTGAAATTCTCTTTGACCAAACTCTCTAACTGCTATAATGAATTTTTTAGAATAGAAATTAACTCTATGAACGTGGCTCTAGACGTTGGTTGGTCACGACAGTTGTGTGTGGGTGTGGGGCACATAACACCTGCGAGATCTACTCTAGATTGACTATTATATTTATGGCTACAGCACTCATCTCATCATTATCAATAGTAGTTACATCACCAACTTCATCTATGGCATCTGCATTTAGAATACTTGCTACATCTAGGGCATTTAAAAAAATCTCTTTGATTTGTAGTACAAAAAGAATCTTTGATTGGTTTTTTGAAATTCTCTTTGACCAAACTCTGACTGATTTTTTTAGAATAGAAATTAATTCTACAGTATGGACATGACTCTGGGCATTGGTTAGTCATAACAGTTGTGTGTGGGGTGGGCATATAACACACACTTTAGTTGGCTCTTTGAAACTTTTATTCGACCAATCTAATAGAATTATGGGTAAATTTTGAAATTTTCTTTGAATTATTGTGACTTTCGTCACAATACTTAAATAATTTGAGATAATTTTTTTTCGTAGAGACAATGTTTAATTATGCTACAATAAGGTTTTTAAAGGTTCAAATCTGATAAATATATAAAGTCTTCTTTTCCCTATAATAGTTAATTATGAGTATCGTGATGAAACTTAGATAATAATTTTTTTTCTTGAGACAATGTCTGATTATGAGATATTTAAAGGTTCAAATTCAATAAATACATAATAAATATCATATTTTCTTTTTTACTGATTCATATTAAAAGATTGAGCCTCTATAATAGTTAATGATTTTTTAATGCTACTATAAGGATTTAAAGGTTCAAATCCAATAGATACATAATAAAAGTCTTATTTTTTCTTTTTACTGATCATACTAAGGGAACTGGGTAGGTGCATACTTAAAGATTTGATTGGGTTTTTGAAATTCTCTTTGACCAAACTCTGATCGCTGAATTATGATTTTTTAGAATAGAAATTAATTCTACAGTATGGACGTGACTCTGGACATTGGTTGGTCACGACAATTGTGTGCGGGGTGGGGCACATAACACACATGCTTTTAGTTGGCTCTTTGAAACTTTTATTCGACCGATCTAATAGAATTATGGGTGGTTTTTGAAATTTTCTTTGATCACAACAATGTTGGTTGGCGACAGTTGTGTGCGGGTGTGGGGACACTTTAGTTGCTTTGATTTGAATAAATTCTGAAATTCTCTTTGATCAGAACTCCAAGTGATAAAATCAACTAAAACTATAGCACTAATCTATCAATTTTACAACTCAAGACTCTTAGAATTGGTAAGCTCTTTTCGAGTCTTGCTGTGGTGATACTAGCAATTGTCACGTGAATCATGTAATTATTGCGGTTTCGATTTAGAGTTAACAATGACGTAGTCAGAGTTTAATAAATTGTTAATTTGTTATAAAAGAGATTTTGGATCACTAATCAATTCTCTCTTATTCTGAGTAAAAATCGATAGTATAGCAAAGACAAATATCTTGAATTCTTTGAGTGCATGCTAAAAGATTGATATGAAAAATTGTTTAAATGTAAATGTAAAAGTTGTCAAAAAGTGGTGTCAATTTTTAAAGGATTGTTTTTTTATAAATGAAAATTAAAAGTTAATGAAATACTTCAAATTGGATACTATTGGCTCACAAAGATATCACAAGGTTCTATTATGACTATTACTAGATCTTCTGCACATATGGTTACCAATTATATGAACCTCTACTGAGATCTTGTTGGCTTTAATATTCATAATGAGCAAAATTTAATTGGCGGGCCTGGTATAATAGTTGAAGTAGACGAATCTCTTTTTAGTTCAAGAAAATATAATTGTGGCCATCATATAGAAGGTAATTATTTATATTATAAATTTTTAAAAATATAAAATCAAATTAATAAATCACAACTAATGTCTATTAGATGTATAGGTATTTGGTGGTATTGAACGCACTAATAAAAGAAGAGTATTTGCAAAATTTGTTAGAGACAGAACTGCAGCAACATTGCTTAGTGCAATTTAAGAAAATATCCATTCTGAATCAATTATTTACTCAGATATGTGGAGTAGTATTACTTGATTGGTTTTTTTTTTGAAATTCTTTTTGACCAAACTCTCTGATTGCAAAATTATAATAGAAATTAACTCTATGGACGTGACTCTAGACTTTGGTTGGTTATGACAGTTGTGTGCAGGGGTGGGACACATAATACACACACTTTATTTGGCTCTTTGAAACTTTTATTCGATCGATCTAATAGAATTATGGGTTGTTTTTGAAATTTTCTTTGATCACAACTCTCTTTGACTGGTTAATTATTATGACTTTCATCATGATACTTAAATAATTTGAGATAATTTTTTTTATAAAGACAATGTTTAATTATGCTACAATAAGGTTTTTAAAGGTTCAAATCCAATAAATACATAAAGTCTTCTTTTCCTATAATAGTTAATTATAAGTATCGTGATGAAACTTAGATAATGATTTTTTTTCTTAAGACAATTTCTGATTATGAGGTATTTAAAGGTTCAAATTCAATAAATCATAAAAAATCATATTTTCTTTTTTACTGATTCATATTAAAGATTGTGCCTCTATAATAGTTAATAATTTTTTAATGCTACTATAAGGTTTTAAAGGTTCAAATCCAATAGATTACATAATAAAGCCTTATTTTATTTTTTTACTGATCATATTAAGGGAACTGGGTAAGTGCATACTTAAAGATTTGATTGGGTTTTTAAAATTCTCTTTGACCAAACTCTGACCGCTGAATTATGATTTTTTAGACTAGAAATTAATTCTACAGTATGGACGTGACTCTGGAAATTGGTTAGTCATGACAGTTGTGTGTGGAGGTGGGCATATAACACACATGCTTTTAGTTGGCTCTTTGAAACTTTTATTCAATTGATCTAATAGAATTATATAGATTTTGAAATTTTCTTTGATCACAACTCTCTCTGACCGGTAATCTTTGACCAGAACTCTTTTTGGTATGTGTACAAAGAGAACTTTGATTTTTTAAAACTTTCTTTTAACCAAGAACTCTCTTAGAATAGAAATTAACTCCAGGACGTGACTCTAGATCGACAGTTGTGTGTGGGTGTGGGAACACTTTAGTTGCTTTTTGAAACTTTGATTCGACCGATTTAATAGAATTTTGGATGGATTCAAAATTCTCTTCGATCAGAACTCCAAGTGATAAAATCAACTAAAACTATAGCACTAATCTATCAATTTTACAACTCAAGACTCTTAGAATTGGTAAGCTCTTTTTGAGTCTTGCTGCGGTGATATTAGTGTTTCGGATAAGTGTAATCTTTGAATTATATCTTGATTGCTTGGTTGTAGGCTTTAGCTGGAAGTCAAAGATAATGAACAAAATTACCTTTACCAAAAAAAGAAGTATGCTTTATTTCAGGTTTTGACTTATTGGGGTTCCAGACTTCGATACAATCGTTAAGATTCTTAATGATTGTCATGTGAATCATGGTTATTGAGATTTCGATTTTAGAGGTGACAATGACGTAGACATGAGTTTAATTAATTGTTAATTTGTTATAAAAGAGGTTTTGGATTCTTTCTCTTTCTCTCTTATTCTGAGTAAAAATCGATAGTTTAGCGAAAACAATATCTTGAATTCTTTAAGTGTATACTAAAAGATTCTTGATTGGTTTTTTTTGAAATTCTCTTTGACCAAACTCTCTAATTGCAAAATTATAATAGAAATTAACTCTATGAACGTGACTCTAGATGTTGGTTGATCATGACAGTTGTGTGCAACACACACTTTAGTTGGCTCTTTAAAACTTTAATTCGGTAGATTTTGAAAATTTCTTTGACCAGAACTCTCTTTGGCCGGTAATACTTTTGGTTGGTTCTTTGAAATTCTCTCTCTTTTTGATGTATTGTACAAAGAGAAGTTTGATTCTTTTGAAATTCTCTTTGCTCAAAACTCTTTGACTGGGTAGAAAAATCTTTTGATTGGTTATTTGAAATTATCTTTGACCAAACTCTGACCTCTATGGATGTGACTTTAGATATTGGTTGGCCATGACAGTTGTGTGCAGTATGGGGCACATAACACACACTTACTAATAGAATTTTGGGTGGATTTTGAAATTTTCTTTGATACTAATAGAATTTTAGTTGGTTCTCTGAAATTCTCTTTGACCAGAACTCTCTTTGATGTAACTTTGATTCTTTGAAATTCTCTTTGATCGTAGGTGCATGATTGGTTCTTTGAAATTCTCATTGACCAAACTTTCTAACTGCTGAATTATGAATTTTTTAGAATAGGAATTAAATATATAGTTGGTGTGGTGCACTTTAGTTGCTTTTTGAAACTTTGATTCGACCGATCTAATAGATAGAATTTTGGGTGGTTTTTGAAATTTTCTTTGACCAGAACTCTCTTTGACAGGGTATAACTTTGGTAGATGCATACTAAAAGATTTTTGATTTGTTTTTTGAAATTTGCTTTGACCAAACTCTTGAACCTCTAAATTATAAATTTTTTAGAATAAAAATTAATTTTGACTAGACGTTGGTCGGTCACGACACTTTATTCGGTGGATACTCTCTTTGGCCAGTAATAATTTGGTTGGTTCTTTAAAATTCTCTCTAAACTCATTTTGATAAGAGAACTTTGATTCTTTTGAATTCTCTTTGCTCAAAAACTCTTTTTGACCGGGTAGGTGCATATTAAAAGATCTTTTGACTGGGTTTTGAAATTCTCTTTGACCAAACTCTGGCTACTAAATTATGAATTTTTTAGAATAGAAATTAACTCTATGGGACGTGTCTCTAGGTATGGAGCACATAACGCACACTTTAGTTGGCTCTTTGAAGCTTTGATTCAGTGGATTTTGAAAATTTCTTTGACCAAAACTCTCTTTGGCTAGTAATACTTTGGTTGGTTCTTTGAAATTCTTTCTCTTTTTGATGTGTTATACAAAGAGAAGTTTGATTTTTTTGATCAAGGCTCTTTAACCGGGTAGAAAAATCTTTGATTGGTTATTTAAAATTATCTTTGACCAAACTCTGACCTCTATTGATATGACTCTAGACGTTAGTTGGCTCTTTGACTTTAATTCAGTAGATTTTGAAATTTTCTTTGACCAGAACTCTCAATGTGTAGGTGCATACTAAAGGATTGGTTATTTGAAATTATCTTGACCAAACTCTTGAACTGCTAAATTATGATTTTTTAGAATAGAAATTAATTCTACAATATAGACGTGACTCTGGACATTGGTTGGTCATAACAGTTGTGTGTGGAGGTGGGGCACATAACACACATGCTTTTAATTGGCTCTTTGAAACTTTTATTCAACCGAGTAGGTCAGTTTTCTAGTGAGAAATCTCTTGATGCTTGCTTTGTGTTCTTACAAATTTATTTGTGTCAGTATAGTTTTATTTATTATTTGTATATTTATGGCTTTTTGACAAAGTCATTTTAACCGGTCTATAACAACCCTAGCTATCAGAAAAAGTAAGCTAATTATTTTACTTACTTATGAATATTAAGTAATCTAGGTGCTGTAAAGAATCTATTGATATTAGTCTAACACTTCAACGATCCGTTACTATCCTTATTATGTTGATATTTTTTTCATAAAAAGTGTATTAGTTGTTGGACTATTTTGTCCTCTTTGTTGAAATGAGTCAGCTTCTATAGATTCAATCCAATCAGTTTAAAATTTAATAAACACACAAAATTTTTTATATATCGATCATCTTCTATGCCAACTATTATATGTAAAAGAGCTTACAATTAAAAGTTTTACTTTATGTTTAAGAAAAAAGATCTGATCACACAATTAACTAAAAATCGAATACATTATTAAATTTAAATTCAGAATCACCCTATTCTAAAAATATTTATCATTCATTTATAATCGATTAAAAATCAAAAAAATTTGAATAATCATTGGTAATATATCTTGCTAAAGAATTGGACTCTTAATTAACTAAGAATAGGTATTGTGACAAAACTTAAATGGTTTTTTTTTGTGGAGACAATGTTTAATTATGCTACTATAAGGTTTTTAAAGGTTCAAATCTAATAAATAATATAATAAGAGTCTTCTTTTCCTTTTTACTAATCATGTTAATTAGGAGTATCGTGACAAAAGTCACAATACTTAAATGATTTTTTTTTATTTATTTATGCTACTATAAAGGTTTTGACTTTCATTATGATACTTAAATCGTGAAGGCAATGTTTAATTATGCTACTATAAGGTGTTTAAAGGTTCAAATCCAATAAATAACATAATAAGAGTCTTCTTTTCCTTTTTACTAATCATATTAATTAGGAGTATCATGACAAAAGTCACGATACTTAAATGATTTTTTTTTGTTTAATTAGGCTACTATAAAGGTTTGACTTTCGTCATGATCTTAAATCGTGGAGGCAATGTTTAATTATACTACTATAAGGTTTTTAAAGGTTCAAATCCAATAAATAATATAATAAGAGTCTTCTTTTTCTTTTTACTAATCATATTAATTAGGAGTATCGTGACGAAAGTCATAATACTAAATGATTTTTTTTTGTTTAATTATGCTACTATAAGGCTTTTAATGGCTCAAATCCAACAGATACATAATAAACTCTTCTTTCCTTTTTACCAATCATAGTATGTGTATTTTTAAATTACAGTATGAATTTTTTTAAAATAGAAATTAACTCTGGTTGGTCATGACAGTTGTGTACATAACACACACTTTGACTGATAAATATATACTAATATAATTTTGGGTGAATTTTGAAATTTTTTGACCGAATAGTTGTATCTAGATTAGTTCTTTGAAATTCTTTTTGACCAAACTTCCCTATAATAGCTAATTATATTGTAACGAAAGGCGCGATACTATTATAAGGTTTTTAAAAGTTCAAAATTAATAATATATAATAAAGTTTTATTTTTCTTTTACTGAAAATGCTAGAAGTTGAACCCAGTATTGTGAAAATTCTGTTATTCCAGTGATATAAGGACATGGCTTATTAATGCATTTTATTAAAGAATGCTATATGTAGATTAACAATAAATTCACAATGTGAATTTGAAATGTCATAATAATTACAATGATATTGTAATAATTACTCAAACTATGATAGGTTTTTCCCACATCAGGTCACATTTTTTCGGATATGATTAATCAAAAAATTTTAAAATGCACAAACCTAGAATTGAGTTATAAAGAAAGAAGTTATATTAATTTTTATTCTTTGTAATATATAGTATCTCGTAAGCATAATAATAAAGAGTTCCAAGGATTATTTGTATTTTGCCTATGCCAAATAAATTCTAAAATATAATTAGGAAGATTAGACGTATTACGATTTCTTGGTGAAATTCGAACTTTAAATCCATTCCAAGTTTCCTCAATTGTATTTATATGAACTCCAGTTATGGGATCAATAAAATTAGCACTATGATTTACTGCATAATGTTCTATATCCAAAACACTAGTGATACTATGATAACTACTCCTTATATCTGAGTAAATAATTAATTCAGAATAGATATTTTCTTCAATTGTACTAAGCAATATTGCTGCAGTTCTGTCTCTAACAAATTTTGCAAATACTTTTCTTTTATTAGTGTGTTTAACACCACCAAATACCCATACATCTAATAGACATTAGTTGTGATTTATTAATTTGATTTTATATTTTTAAAAATTTATAATATAAATAATTACCTTTTACATGATGGCCACGATTATATTTTCTTGAACTAAAAAGAGATTTGTCTACTTCAACTATTATACCAGGCCCACCAATTAAATTTTGCTCATTGTGAATATTAAAGCCAACAAGATCTTGGTAGAGGTTCATATAATCGGTAACCATATGTGCAGAAGATCCAGTAATAGTTATAATAGAACTGTGTAACATCTTTGTGAGCCAATAGTATCCAATTTGAAGTATTTCATTAACTTTTAATTTTTATTTATAAAAAAATAAGCCTTTAAAAATTGACACCGCTTTTTGACAACTTTTACGTTTAAATTTAAACAATTTTTCATATCGAGTTGTAGGCCCTCCACATTCACAACATATTGGTTCTTTATCAAGAATTCCACATTTAAACAAAAAATTAATACAGTTTTCTTCATTAGAAAAGATGAGTTGTAAAGTTTTAAATAGAGGTATCATTTTATTCAAATAAAAAAATTAACGATGAATTACTTTTATTATATAGAAAATTATAAACTATTTATCATAAAATATATCAAAAAAATAAAAGTTTATTATATTGAAAAAAGATATGATAAATAAAAAATTACATATACTACTCGAACAATTAATATGTACCCCGAAGAAAATTTTAAAGAATCAACCAAAGTTCTATATACCCAAAGATCTATTAGTATGCACCACCTAGTAAAGAGAAAGTTCTCTTTGTACACATCCATTCAAAAAGAATTTCAAAGAACCAACCAAAAAAAATCCACCAAAATTCATTAGATCAGTCAAATCAAAGTTTCAAAGAGCTAACTAAAGTGTGTTATGTACACAACTAGAGTCACATACCAAAGTATTACTGGCCAAAGAGAGTTCTGGTCAAAGAAATTTTCAAAATCCACCTATTAGTACATGTCCACTCAGTCAAATCAAAGTTTTAAAGAGCAATCAAAGTTCTCTCTAGTCAAAGAAAATTTCAAAATCCACCCATAATTCTATTAGATCGGCCGAATAAAAGTTTTAAAGAGCCAACTAAAGTGTGTGTATTATGTGCTCCACTCCCTACACACAACTGTTATGACTAAACCAATGTCTAGAGTCACGTCCATAGAATTAATTTCAATTCTAAAAAAACATAATTCAGCGGTTTAAAAGTTTGGTCAAAGAGAATTCCAAAAAACTAATTAAAAAGCTTTTAGTATGCACCTACCCGGTCAAAGAGAGTTCTTGGTCAAAAGAGAGTTTTAAAAAATCAAAGTTCTCTTTGTACATACACCAAAAAGAGTTCTAGTCAAAGATTACCTGCCAAAGAGTGTTGTAATTAAAGAAAATTTCAAAATCTACCCATAATTCTATTAGATCGGCCAAATAAAAGTTTCAAAGAGATAACTAAAAGCGTGTGTATTATGTGCCCCACGCCTGCACACAACTGTCATGACCAACCAATATCCAGAGTCATGTCCATACTGTAGAATTAATTTCTATTCTAAAAAATCATAATTCAGCAGTTCAAGAGTTTGGTCAAAGCGAATTTCAAAAAACCAATCAAAGAATGTTTAGTATGCACCTACTCGGTCAAAGAGAGTTCTTGGTCAAAGAGAGTTTTAAAAAATCAAAATTCTTTTTGTACACACACCAAAAAAGAGTTCTGGTCAAAGATTATTGGTTAGAAAGAGTTGTGATTAAAGAAAATTTTAAAAACCACCTATAATTTTATTAGATCGGCCAAATAAAAGTTTCAAAGAGCCAACTAAAGTGTGTGTGTTATGTGCCCACCCCTCTGCACACAATTGTCGTGACCAACCAATGTCCAGAGTCACATCTATAGAATTAATATTTCTATTCTAAAAAAAATCATAATTCAGCGGTCAGAGTTTGGTCAAAGAGAATTTCAAAGATCCAATCAAAAATCTTTTAGTATGCACCTACCCGGCCAAAAAGAGTTCTTGGTCAAAGAAAGTTTTAAAAAATTAAAGTTTTCTTTGTACACACACCAAAAAAGAGTTCTGGTCAAAGATTACCGGCTAAAGAGAGTTGTGATCAAAGAAAATTTTAAAATCTACCCATAATTCTATTAGATCAGTCGAATTAAAGTTTCAAAGAGCCAACTAAAAGCATGTATGTTATGTACCCCACCCCGCATATAACTGTCGTGACCAACCAATATCCAGAATCACGTCCATACTGTAGAATTAATTTCTATTCTAAAAAAACATAATTCAGCGGTTCAAAAGTTTGGTCAAAGAGAATTCCAAAAAACCAATCAAAGAACTTTTAGTATACACCTACCCGGCCAAAGAGAGTTCTTGGTTAAAGAGAGTTTTAAATTTCAAAGAACCAACCAAAAGTATTACCAATGTAGAAAATTCAATCAAAAAGTATATAAGTAAGGTTTCTTGCGCTTAAAATAAAACAGAAGTAAGTTGAGTAAAATACTTTGAAAACATAAAACTCCAGTAGTTTTTACTCATCGTAAAGTTCATATGCAATGCTCATTGACTCTCAGCTCTTATAAGATAAAATCGTCGTTAAAACCTTCTATACTATCGATTTTCACTTAGAATAAGAGAAAAAGAGAGAGAATCGATTAGTAATCCAAAACCTCTTTTATAACAAATTAACAATTGATTAAACTCTAATCTACGTCATTGTTAACTCTAAATCAAAACCGCAATAACCACGTGATTCACGTGACAATCATTAAGAATCTTAATGATT